TGTATTCACCGATAGATTTAGATTAGAACACTTTGTCGAGATATAATGTTAACTCTTTGAGTCTCAGAGAGATTCAATTTTTCATTAGAGACATTTGGTCTTTGGTTTTTTTTTTTTACGTGAAAGATATTGTATAATTTATATTAAGTTTATATAAGGAGAAGATTTTTCCGTATTTTTATATAATTTAAGAAAGAGAAATATACGTATAAGAGAAAGATAGTAGGATATGCGTATATACTGATCCTCAAAGAGTTTGCATAGGGGAAAAAGATGATCGATGAAATGAGTGAGTGAGTATGCGTGGGAGGATAAAAGAAACCTACGACGAATCGGAGAATTCGTATGCATATGCATCGTGAAGGTGACCGAGAAGGTGAATTTAATTAGGAATCGTATGGTGGAAACAAAAGAGCTATACTACCAACCCAAAGATGCACAACATCATAGAGAGCCGGACAATTTGATAGAACTCATGTCACTCTAATTATATTTCTTGTTATATTATATACATATATATATATATACATATATATATATCATATTTTCCAAAAACGAATTATATATAATTCAATAAAAAAGAAGACACTCTCGTTTGATACTTTGCGAGATTTTGAAATTATTCCTGCCATCTAATATGTATTGGTGTTTACATAATTAATTATATATTCGATGATTTTATTTTTTGATCGATTAAATTTTATGACAGCATATATAATATCCTGGGTACCAATCATACATGCTACGTTCCTGAGTTAATCGCGTTTCTGGTGGCAGAATCGCGAACTAAAATTTGAAAAGATTATATCGTATGAAGTGACAGAAACAAGTGCGGGAAGCTTGTCAAAAATACAGAAAAAAATTTAACATAGAAAATATTACTGTTCAAAAATAGTAGAATATTAATTTGAATTATTGCGTGTTTATAATTTAAGAGATTGAAGTGAAGTTTGTGCAATTTGTTGCATTTCGATGTAAATAGATTTTTTTCGATCTTTCGATTAGTTTCATTCATCACTAAAAAGCATAAATCGTGAATTATTGGATCCGTTATTTACCTAAATTACATTATTTTTTCATAGTTTATGAATCAAGAAGGATTTTTTAAAGCAAAACGTGAAATCATTTCAATGTTTATCTTCGCGTCGATGTCATACGATTTTTCGTACAATACGTGTGTTTCGGAAGTTTGTTCAATTTTTCATTTAACGATGATTATTTCTACGAATATGAAATACGTATTATTGTGTATAAGAAGATGACGACAATTGAAGATTTCAATTACGAAAGAAGTATGCTGAAAACTGTAAGTGCATTTCTTTCTTCATTTTCAATTATAAGATGGCGTTTGTTGATAACCATTTATCGGTTACACACGAAATATTTTTGAATTTAATTATTTATATCTTTTTTTCCTCTTTTATACGGAGAAAATTATATTGTTTTTTATATTTCTATTTGTTATCGTTAAACGAGATAATATCCTTTTTTATTGGCAAATGATTGGATAAATTGTACAATAATTAATATTTGATACTACGAAAATATATATATAATATTTTAGGGATATATAATAGCCATGTCTATTTATGATTATAAGATTTATTACGTTTTCGTTATTTACACAAGTTCGTTGTAAGTTTTGGACAAAGGTCCAGAGAAACATTGCGGGATCTAGAGAAAAATCGCGTATCCTTACAAAAAGAAGTTTATACAGACATTTTTATCCCCAATGTCGCTATGAACCAATGCCACGAATACGACGAAACGACAACGCTCGTTTGTTATATATTCGTCGGATGTTTTTGATCTATGATTTTATATTATTGATCATTCAAAATTATTGCACTTTATAAAAAATTATTAAATTTCTAACATATTGTGACGAAAAATTATTGATTATTTTGGATAAAAATTTATTTATCTTAACGTTAGAAATTTAAATTCTTAAAATCAATAAACGTTTTGAATATAAATTACATCGTTACAAAATTAAAATTATTCTATCGCATAATTTCACGATAAATTACAATTGTAATTGTGTCTCCACTTCTATTGAAGTTTTAAACGATCGTCAGAAAAAAAAACGATTCTCTGTAAACCAAATCAACATTTTTTTCCGCATATATTTTCTTTTTCTCGATTTTTCGAATAATAGCTCATAAATTACGAGTGTTACGTTTGCACGTCCATTCTTTCTTCTTTTTTTTCCCCCCTCTGTTCTCTTTAAATGTAATTTTTACGATCTGTACCCACCACCACGTTGGACCCAGTTACGCCAGTTTTTTTTTTCTTCACAAATTAAAACTAAACAAAGAAAAAAAACGCTCCACGCAAAACACGAAACATCGGTACCCTCACATTTTTCGATTCTTACTTTTACCAAAAAAAAAATTACTACATCTGCTCGATTTTAAGATTAATTTTCTTATCACAAAGGAATCGAAGGAACGATAAAAACAAGTACTTCCAATTTTGACATGTGAATAATAATGTTGTTGATCGAGAGATATTTTATCTTATATTTATTTTTTAACTGAAAATCGGTTACTTCCGATTTTCAGTTAAAGGGTACCGATATCGGGGAGCAGCACCTCGATTCAATGGAAACTAGTTTACGGTTTAAGCGTTATAATGGATTATACACTCATTTATCGCCACACTCGCTGCGAGTGTCCCGTAGTCGATGGCACGAGACGCGTCCAGCTCGTAATAACTTTTTTCAAACACCTTTTCACAATCTTTGGTGTGAATCTAATCAACTGTTGCAACATTTCTTCTCGCCTCGTTCTCACGGCAACGGGACTCGGTCTCGCGTAACATCGAAGCACATAGTCGGACGTACTTATAATAATCGATATGCATATCTATACATAAGTTTGCCTCGATTGGTTCGAACGCATTGGAAACTTGTCTCTGATCGATTAATCAGGAGCTGGTCTCACCTGCCAGAGGGACGTTACGCATATATAATGAAATTTTTCTTTAAACGGTGAGACGTAAAAAAAAAAAAAAAAAAAAAAAAAAA